TGTGTTGGTTGGGGTGGATGTTACATTAGGGCGTCAGGAGCTGCCCTTAGAGGGGGGGGGTATGTAATGTGGTGTTTGGGTTTTGTTTCATGTTCATGTTTTCCATGTCTTTTATTTTGTAATTGTTTCCTGCTGTTAGTGTCATGCTTCCCTTGCCTCATGTCTCTCTGCCTTGTGTATGTGTCATGTTCTGATTGGTTGTCCTAGTCATGTGTCTTGTTTCCCATTGGTTTGTTCTTGTCATGTGACCCTCATTGTCTGATATAAGTAGCCATCATGTTCCCATAGTCTTGGTTGTGTATTGAATGTATTTAACCCACTGTTGGTGAGTCTAGTCTGTTTGTGTCAAGTCTGCTCATGCTATGTCTGTTCAAGTCAAGTCTGTGTCTTGGATTATTGTTTGGATCACTCTGTAAATAAACTGCACTTGGGTTCTCACTATGCTCGCCTTCAGTGGATTGACTCTTTACAAATCTGCTATTAAAAAAATGCATTTGGGTAAATCTCCTGGTCAGGACGGTTTGACTACTGATTTTTACAAATTATTCTGGGAGGATATAAAAGATTTGCTATTTAAAGGAGTGTTTTGATTCTAATTCTTTACTTCCAACTATGAGACAGGGGTTAATTATTCTCATTCCAAAGTCAAACAAAGATAAAAGAATTATTGAGAATCTGAGACCGATTACCCTACTTAATATTGATTATAAAATTCTTACAACTGCAATTGCTAATAGGTTAAAATTTAGGTTGAGTCAAGTTATAAGTGAAACTCAATCTGGTTTAATTAAAGGAAGGTTAATACACAACAATATTAGACTTGTCTTAGATTTAATTGATTATGGACATTTAATTAACGATGATGGGTTTCTTTTGTTTCTTGATTTCTATAAGGCATTCGATACTGTAGAACATGAATTAATTTTAGATACATTGAAGTTTTTTGGTTTTGGTCATAAATTTGTTAAATTAATAGAGATGTTGTACAAAGACATAAATCGTTCAGTATCGTTACCATTTGGGACCTCTAAGAGGTTTAACATTAATAGAGGATCTGACAAGTCTGTATTTATTTATTTTAATAGCTGAACTGTTAGCAATTTATGTGAAAAATAGTAAAGCTATCAAGCCTTTGAATGTTTTAGGGAGTCAGCTATTGATAAGTCAACTAGCAGACCATACCACCCTGTTTCTTAGTGATGCAGAGCAGATTCCAGTAGCCATTAATCTGGTGTCTCATATTTCAAAAGCTTCTGGTCTGCAATTGAATTTAAAAAAGTGAGCTGATGGCACTTCATAATCATGCTGAATCTCAATTGTTCAATATTATTTATTTAGTAATTTATTTAGTAAAATATTTAGGAATTGTTATTACTAAAGACCCTAAAATTAGAGAAAAAAGTAATTTGATTGATAATATGAAAAAAAAGTCAAAATATTTTAAATATGTGGGTTCAAAGGGATATTTCTATATTTGGCAGAATTCTCATATAGAAGTCAGAAGCACTTTCCAGGTTGATTTACGCAGCATTTTCTTTGAGTATATCTGATAGGTGGATAAAAGACATTAATCAAATTCAGTATACATTTATTTGGAAAAACAAGCACCATTATATAAGAAAATCAGATGCAGTGAAGCCGATCAGGGTTGAACGTAATTGATTTCGATGTTATGAATGGTACCCTTAAGTTGAGGTGGCTCCAAGACTTCCTTAGAAATAAACGTTCAGTTTGGTTCAGCTTTTCTTCTCAGAGTTTTGATTCTCTTGGGGGCATTGATTTCCTTTTAAGGTGTGATTTTGAGCCATCAAAATTAAAGTGTAAATTATCATCTTTTCATAGTCAGGTATTATTATATTGGAAATGAATATACAAACCCAACTTTTCACCACATAGTTGTTCTTTGTGGAATAATAAGTGTATCCTTATTAAGAGGAAATCTGTGTTTTTTCAGGTCTGGATGGACAAAGGTGTCTGGTCCATTGTACACATTATGGCTGGGGATGGGAAATCTTGGTTATGATGATTTTTGTGAAAAATACAATATTATTTGTACTCAGGAATGACATGTTTCTTTGTTGAAAGCTGTTTTGGTTCAGCTGATTAAAGGTGCATTGTGTTATTCACCTGTGATACCAAGATTAGGTCAATCATCTCTGGTATTAATTGTATAGAGCAGAGCTGTAATAACAAGGTTTCAAGAACATTAGTAAATACACAGGCTTTCCCTTCTAAAGTAAAGAAGAGACCCCTTGTGTATGATTTTCCTGAAGATAAAGTGGTTCGAATTCTCTCTTTTCCACTTCTACCAAAGGCAAAAGAAGTTCAGTTTAAAATGATGAACGATATTTATCCCTGTAATGAGTTCCTCAGACACAGGTTTAATTTGGATTGTAATGGACGCACCTTTTGTGAAGCAGACATAGAGTCATTGGAACATTTGTTGTATTTATGCAAATTCTCTAAAACATTATGGGATGACCTCTATGCTTGGTTAAGTTTGAAGTATGTAATGCCTGACTTTGATTTTAAAACTGTTAAATATTTGTCCTTTTGTCGGAATTGTGATGTTGGATTTTTGGTTAATAATATTGGTGATTTTGGCCAATAACTTCATTCATAAATGCAGATTCTTTAATAACCCCCCCCCCCACACACACACACACACACTTTATTACTTTTCCAGAAAGATTTAATGGTCTTCTTCAAATCTTAAAAGCTCATGCGTCATAAAAAAGCCCTTAAACTATGTCATCTTTTGAAGGTATTATTATTTGTTTTTCTTTCTTACTTTTCCTGTTATGTTTATTTAGTTTATCCATGTTTTTTTTTGTTTTGTTGTTATGCTGCTATTTGGACTTCTTTGAATTGTATTAAGATTTTTCTTACTGTTATTTATTTGGTATTTATTCTTCAAGCAATAAAAAAAAAACCTTCAGGCCGCGTTTCCTACAGCGATTGTTGAGGGCACGTTCTTAATAAAGCTATTTCATTGGTCCACTTATGTGTCACTCAAAGCATCGGAGCGCTCTTATTGGACAGGCGTGGCTTCACGGCTTCCTTCTCTGGTAATTAAACAGCTTAGCGGCCTTCATCCGGTCTTTTCTGCAGTCCGAGACAGCCAGCGCTACACGGTTCAGCTCAGCACCTTCTAAACACAAGAGAAACTAAAGCCATGGCCAGGCCCAGGGTTTTCTTCGACCTCGCCGCCAACGACAGGCCACTCGGAAGAGTGATCATGGAGGTAAAACTTGACGCAGTATTCCTAATTTCACTGCAAGGAAGCACTAATGTTA